CTGGCGGCCGTCGGCGGCGCCGGGACGCTGTCGCGGAGCTGCGGGTATGAGGTGTGCCTGACGGGGGGCTCGGGGGCCGGCGAGTTCCAGTTCCTGAAGCCGATTGTCCCTAATTTTCTGCCCCAGGGCAGTGAAATGGAGAAAGACCCACCTTTCTGAATAGTTTTTGGGTTTAATTTGGGATCAGATTATGATGCAGAACTTGTAAAATGGGTCTCTTTGAAATTTTATTCATTCTAATGTACAATTCTTCATTTTGGGAAATTTCATTTTACTTGAGTTTTCAGAAATTTCTAAAATGTAGGTCTATTTTCTGCTTTTCTTTTTAAAATTATTTTAAAGATGTGGGGTACAATTTAGGATTAGGTATACAAGCGGTCATCATACCGGTAAAGTGTGGGCCTCCCTTTGGTCTCCGCTGCTTTTCTTTATACATTAAGGGAGCAGGAATTTGCTTGGCTTTTGTTCCACAATGCAAACTCAAATAATTTATTCACATTTACGTCATTTTTTCTTCAAGTTTAATTGCACTCTTGTTGCATTCATATTTATGGGTGTTCTGATTGAATCCTCTAACCTAAACACGTTGTACATAATCAATAGTATTATTATAGAGAAAAATGCATGATATGAATAAAAACATGATTGCTTGTTATCTGGTTAGGTTGGTTTTTAAGATGTTATCTAAGTTGCTTGTTTGTTTGTTTTAGTATACTCAATCTTTCCATTGTAATTTCTGCCAAATATCACAGATAATTTTTCTGCACTTAGGCATTTTCCTCAAAAATGTTTTTGAATGATATATGTGTTGGTAGATATTGTTTTATTAAAAATAAAATCAAAATATTGTTTGGATTAAGATTATATATCCAGCCCATGCACCTTTCTTGTCTGTATTACCCAAGAGAGGTGATCACTAGTTTATTCCACTTTTCTTTGCCTTTCTTGGTCATTTTTTATTGGTCCATTGATAAACTTCTGATTAAAATTGGAATAGCCAAATTCTCCGAATCCCTAAATTTGTGTTGAAGATAGAGTTCATTCTTTTTTTTTTTTCCTGTTGAACAAATGTTAAAAATGGGCTGACATAGCAATATTTATACCGATGTAGCCTGGAAGTAGCAAATGGCTTCTAGTTTCTGTTTTCTAACAGTAAATTCCTTTCTTAAATCTATCTTGAAGGGTTGTTTCTTGAAATGAAAAGAGACTTGAGAGAGACACACAACCTTCGGTACTCAATTAGACTATGTGCCATCAAACTCTGTCTTTTATTGCATGCTTCTATATTAACTTAATGAATCAAATAAGGCTATATTAGAGATAACTAATCTATACATTAGGCTTATGTAACAAAATGTAAATTTGTAAATAATTTATGAGATCTTTCAACAAATATATGCAACAAAGTATTTAATGGAATGTCTTGTTAATTGGGTTGCCCTCCATTATGTGTCCCAGGATTACTACTGAAACTATTTTGGGTGTTTGTAGCTTTTCTCAGAATCATCATACCCTCTTTAGAAGACTCTTTTAAAAAATTAGTTGCTGAGTTCAGTGTTAGCACAATTATTTTATCATTTAATTTGAAATCTTCTGGCTCTATAAATAATCCTAATTTATAGATCATATGAGTTGAGTAATAATTTCAGTTACAGTAATAGATACTATTTGATTGACACATACTTTGTTAGAAAAGCCTCATGGAAAAAAAAAATTAAGTTTCTGCCAAGCTTAGGGGCTTAGCTCTCAGAAAGGAGAACACTTATCTGAGAGATAAAAGATGGAAATGAAAAACTAGTTTTGATTCACAAGGTTACTAACATAGGTACCAGATTCTATTCCATTAGCATTCAAAAATGCATGGACATTCAGGACATATTTTTTTGGACATGTAACTTCATAATAAAGAATTTGGATCCATGACCAAGATCTTTCTATAAGGAAAATTGTCAGAGTTTGTGACCAGCATGTTCTCATATTTTGAAAGTTTACTTAATCAAATTTGTTTCATTGTGTGGAAGAAAACATTCTAAAATAGAATGTCAGATTGAGTGATTTGAACCTTAAAAGAATTAAACAAATATGAAGCAAATTCTTACATTTGACTCATGCTAAATTTTCTTAGTTAGCCAGGTAATTAGAATGCCAGAATACATGAGAGTGGCTATTATTCCAACATTGTTATTAAAACATTGGCTAAAGTCGGTGCAATTGGACAGACCCCCTGGTCTCCTCCCTCAAGATATTTTCCCTTCCTTTGAAGTAATAATTTTAGTACCATGGTAAGGTGCCAGGAGTCCAAGTTGTTCAAGAGAGGTATTTGAGTTGCTTACTAAAAATGAGTTGAAACCTTTTCTAACTGGAAATAAGCTTAACCTGCTGTTTCAGATGACTCTGACTTATCTTCTTCTGCAATTTATTTTTTTACTTAACTTCCGCCTTTATCTCTAAGTTGGCTGTCTCCCTCTTCAAGATCTCCATGAACCTCAGTTTCAGCTTGTATACATCTTAGTTTTAGTAATAGATGGGAATACTCTTTAAAAATTATTTTAGGTAATATAACAAGTCAATATAACATGCTCACAGAAGCACAGAGCAAGTCCTTAGACAATATTTACAAATAAGTTATCCATAACTCCTGAAGTCTTCTATTGAGTTTGCATAATAAACGAGCTCTAGCTCTAGCTGATTTATCATTTAAGTTTATACTCCTGAAACTCGTAAATGAATCTTTTCATCTACTGTGCTAGAAGTTAGTTAACAGTTTAATGGTGTTCTTTCTTTAAGAACAGACTGATAACTACACATTTTTTTTCTACTCACTTTCTCCAGAGCACTCACTATAAAATAGAGCAGACCTTATATTGTAAGCTTCATGAGGTCAGATAAGGGATCTGTATTCCCGTCACTTAGCACAGGGCCTGATGCATAATATTAAATCATAAGTATTCATAATCTTACAAGGAAACAGAAGTTACCATTTTAATTTATAAACCACTCCATATATATAACCCGTGGTTTTTTGCATACACTACGTGGAACACGTTTTGTATTAACAGAACGTTTAGCAAACTCTAGATTTCAGTACACCGCGTGGTGGCGCTGTAAGCTAAGGCTGCGGAAAAACAGACTTGCAGTTACTATTCTGGTTACCCTTCAGACAGTCATACACAGATCTATCAAAGAGAAGAGGCTTTCTTAACAGAAAATTGCGTTGCAGCAAGGATTACTTCCCCAAGCAGATTGCCCACGGACCCAACACAGGCATCCAAACCATAAAGGCTTTTGGTATTGGAGAAATGGAGGCTGAAAAGGAGTGCTTTCCTAGACTAAGGCAAGTTCTGCTTCTCTTTGTTATGCTGTCTCAGACTTGCGCGGAGCGGAAGGATTATACAATAGCAGAAGAAACGGAGAGCGGTTCTTTTGTGACCAATCTAGGAAGGGACCTAGGGCTAGGTGTAAGAGAGATGTCCTGGCGGAGGGCTCGGGTCATTTTTAACAATAACAAAAATTATTTACAGCTGAACCTTCAGACTGGAGATCTGCAAATAAATGAGAAACTGGATCGGGAAGAACTGTGTGGCCCCACTGAGCCTTGTGTGCTGCAATTCCAGGTGTTACTGGAAGACCCTTTGGAGGTATATAGGTTTAAACTTTTGGTCAGTGACATGAATGACAATTCTCCTGAGTTCCCAGAAGCAGAAATGATTTTGAAAATCATGGAAAACACTCCTCCAGGAACTGTGTTTCCCCTGAAAAATGCACAGGATTTGGATGTAGGCATTAACAACATTCAAAAAAACTACACCATCTATCCCAACTCTCATTTCCACGTTCTCACCAAGAGTGGCAGTGAGGGCAGAGAATACCCAGAGCTGGTGCTAGACAAAGCCCTGGACCGAGAGGAGCAGCCAGAGCTCAGGTTAATTTTCATGGCAGTAGATGGCGGATCTCCCCCCAAATCTGGGACTGCCCTGGTCCTGGTGGACATCTTGGATGTCAATGACAATGCCCCTGAGTTTGCACAGCCACTCTATCGGGTGCAGATCTCGGAAGACAGTCCTCTGGAGTCCCTTGTTGTCACTGTTTCAGCTCAAGATTTAGACACGGGAATAAATGGTGAGATAGTCTACTCTTTTTTGTTATGGTGATGAAGAGACATCAAAGACGTTTGCACTTAATGAACTAACGGGAGAAATTAAAATAATTAGAAAATTAGATTTTGAAAAAATTGTGTCATACGAGGTGGATATTAAAGCCTCTGATGGGATAGGTCTTTCTGGAAAATGCACCGTCATCATACAGGTGGTGGATGTCAACGACAATGCCCCGGAACTGACGGTGGCTTCAATCATAAGCCCCATCCCCGAAAATTCCCCCGAGATCACGGTAGCTCTTTTCAGCATTCAGGACCGAGACTCTGGGGAAAACGGGAAAATGGTCTGCTCAATTCAGGATGATGTTCCGTTCATGCTGAAACCTTCCGTGGAGAATTTCTACAGGCTGGTAACGGAAGGCGCGCTGGACAGAGAGAGCAGAGCCGAGTACAACGTCACCATCACCGTCACCGACCTGGGGACTCCCGCGCTGAAGACCCAGCACCACGTCACCGTGCGGGTCTCCGACGTCAACGACAACGCCCCCGCCTTCACCCGGGCCGTCTACACCCTGCTGGTCCGCGAGAACAACCGCCCCGCCCTGCACATCGGCAGCGTCAGCGCCACCGACGCGGACGCGGGCGCCAACGCCCAGGCCACCTACTCGCTGCTGCCGCCCCCCGACCCGCGGCTGGCGCCGGCCGCCCTGGTGTCCGTGAACGCCGACCGCGGCCAGCTGTTCGCGCTGCGCTCGCTGGACTACGAGGCCCTGCGCGCCTTCGAGCTCCGCGTGGGCGCCGCCGACCGCGGCTCGCCGGCGCTGAGCAGCCAGGCGCCGGTGCGCGTGCAGGTGCTGGACGCCAACGACCGCGCGCCCGTGGCGCTGTACCCGCCGCGCGACGGCTGGGCGCCCTGCCCCGAGCTG